GCATCCGGCCGTTGAACTGCCCCCGGTCACGGCTGCTGTTGTCTGACGTCGTCATTGAAGCTGAATACCCCATATGTTGATGGAGTTCCTACCTATTACATATATAGCATACTTCGTACCCTAGCTACTTCTAATTTCCCTTCTTTCTAATTAGTTGTTCTCTCTATGTAGTTCTATTTTCATGCTCGTGTAATGTTGAATGACCTGATTATTTTAATGGAGTCTTTTTAGTATTATAGTTGAGCATTTTTACTGCGGGACACAAAACTCTTCATTTGTATACATTTTGATACAATAGGGGGATGTGGAATAATGGGATAAACAATTGAAATGTTGACTATCAAAGAAACAAAAAATTCAAATGCTCGATCGTCAAGTGTTTAATCTCAATTTTCCATTTTCTTAATCATACTCTGATCTGGCATTGGCCTAATTAACTTCTTAAACCTGCTCAAATTTCTCTCACTCGACGCAACAGGCCATGATATACATTAGTATATATCCTAGAGTTGCAAAAGTTTATTATATAGATATATATATATGACACAGGCGGCCTATAATCAATGCTTTATTTATAGCACATGAAAAATCATTTTATTTTAAAAAGTTTAATTTTTGGAATAAGTGAATACGAGATCCTAGATTATAAAATCATAACTATCAAATTATATTTGTTTTAATATAATATGGATTTTTTGACTTAAATAATAAGGAATCACCAGTAGAAAAACACGTATTCTAGACGGAATATTCTAGACGGAATTTTTTCCGTCTAGAATGTATTAAACTAGACGGAAAATTTCCGTCTAGAATATTCCGTCTAGAATAAAACATTCTAGACGGAAATTTCCGTCTAGAATAGTATACTAGACGGTTTATTTAATTTAATTTTTTTTTAAATTAACCAAGTATTCTAGACGGAAATTTCCGTCTAGAATAGTATCCTAGACGGAAATTTCCGTCTATATATATATATATATAGAGAGAGAGAGAGAGAGAGAGAGAGAAATATGGAGAACCTTGGTACCAAGTTGCTTAAAGCAACTTGGTAGTGATGTGACCTAATTTTGCCCCTACATCACACCTCGAAGATAGAACCTCAACCACCCTTCAACAACTCCAATGTAGATGTAGGGACAAGATTAGGCCACATCACTATCAAGTTGTTTGGAGTAACTTGGTACCAAGTTTCTCCATTTCTCTCATATATATATATGAGAAATATGGGTATGCTTGGTACCAAGCACAAATTTTATGCTTGATAGTGATGTTTCACATCCCCATCCACTCACTACCCATGCGAATTTGTTCCCACATTTGAATGGGTGGATGGGGATTTGACACCTCACAACCAAACACAACTTTTTGTGCTTGGTACTACCAAGCA